AGGGGACCTTGGAGGTCATCTAGCCCAACCCCCTGCTCAAGCAGGAGACCCTTACAGAATCATAGAGTTGCAGGGGACCTTGGAGGTCATCTAGCCCAACCCCCTGCTCAAGCAGGAGACCCTTACAGAATCATAGAGTTGCAGGGGACCTTGGAGGTCATCTAGCCCAACCCCCTGCTCAAGCAGGAGACCCTTACAGAACCATAGAGTTGGAGGGGACCTCGGAGGTCATCTAGCCCAACCCCCTGCTCAAGCAGGAGACCTGTAACAGAATCATAAGAGTAACAGAGTTGGATGGGACCTCGGAGGTCTTCTAGTCCAGCCCCCTGCTCAAGGAGGAGACCCTATGCCATTTCAAACAAGTGGCTGTCCCAGTCTCTTCTTGAAAACCTCCAGCGTTGACGCACCCACAACTTCTGGAGGCAAGCAGTTCCCCTGGTTAATCGTTCTCACTTGTCAGGAAGTTTCTCCTTAGTTCCAGGTCGCTTCTCTCCTCGATTCGTTTCCATCCGTTGTTTCTCGTCCGGCCTTCCGTTGCTTCGGAAAACAAGTTGACCCCCTCTTCTTCTTTGTGGCAGCCCCCCCCAATTCCCTAATATTGCTATCCTATCACCCCTAAATCCTTCTTTTCTCTAAAGACCGACCGTTCCCAAATCCCGCCACCGTCCTTCATATGTCTTAATCTCCCGGCCTTTGATCATCCTAGTCGCTCTTCTCCGCATCGTGTTTTTTTTTGTGACGAGGTGACCAAAAGTGGACGCCGCGTTCCAGGCCTGGCCTTACTAAGGCTTTACAAAGCGTGCTACTAAGACTTCTGGTGATTTGGAGTCTAGGCCTCGGTTTATAACAACCCAGGATTGTGTCGCCTTTTTCGGCGGCTGCCGCTGCCGCCGCACAAAACCAGCTCTCCCGTTTCAGGGATCGTCCACTCCGACGGACTGTTTTTGATCCGGGGTCTCCTCCATCCTCGTCCGCTCCTCCCCCCCCCAAAAAAACCCGGGGTGCTTGTTTTTCTGCAATGCAATTTTTCTCCTTGGAGGGTCCGATGGCGGTCACCTTTGAGGACGTGGTCGTCTACTTCTCGCCGGACGAGTGGCAGTCGCTAAGCGAGGACCAGAAACAGCTCTACTGGGAGGTACTGCAGGAAAACTACCAGGCTCTCTTGCTGGTCGGTGAGTAGCCCCCACAGGGCTCGGGGTTCGGGGGCGCGGGGCGGATTGCGAGAGGAACTATAGAAGCAGGAGAGCTGGGTTCGAGTCCTGCTCGGCCACAGGAGAGGCTTCCTCCCTCTTGGACCGGCCTACCTGCCAGGGTTGTCGTTTGGGGCCAAGAGGAACGGACCGAGGGCTCTTGATACCTCACCCCTCCTCATGAAAGGTGTGTAGGGGGGTGAAAATGTCACCGGCAAGTAATTTAGACGGGGTCGTTAATTAGCCCTACGAGGGGTTAATTACAACTCCCATTATCCTCGGCCTCTCTGCTCTCCCAGCTGATGAGGGATAGCGGGCATAAGGTGGGCTGAGGCAGCGTAGGGGGTCTGCAAGGCAGGGGATTGTGGGAGTTGAAGTCCCAAAGCATGCTGGCTGAGGAATTATGGGAGTTGAAGTCCAGGCATGCTGGCTGAGGGATTATGGGAATTGAAGTCCAGAGTGGGGGAATTGTGGGAGTTGAAGTCAAGGCGTGCTGGCAAGGAATTCTGGGAGTTGATCTCTAGGTATGTTAGTTGAGGAATTCTGGGAGTTGAAGTCCAGGAATGCTGGTTGAGGAATTATGGGAATTGAAGTCCAGAGTGGGGGGAATTCTGGGAGTTGAAGTCCAGAGGGGGGGAATTCTGGGAGTTGAAGTCCAGTCATGCTGGCAATGAATTCTGGGAGTTGAAGTCCAGGAATGCTGGTAGGTGAATTCTGGGAGTTGAAATTGGGGCATGCTGCCGAGGGAATTCTGGGAGTTGATCTCTCTAGGTATGTTAGTTGAGGAATTCTGGGAGTTGAAGTCCAGGAATGCTGGTGGGTGAATTATGGGAGTTGAAGTCCAGGCATGCTGGCTGAGGGATTATGGGAATTGAAGTCCAGAGTGAGGGAATTATGGGAATTGAAGTCCAGGCATGCTGGCTGAGGGATTATGGGAATTGAAGTCCAGAGTGGGGGAATTGTGGGAGTTGAAGTCCAGGCGTGCTGGCAAGGCATTCTGGGAGTTGAAGTCCAGGAATGCCGGTGGGTACATTTGGGGAGCTGAAATCCAGGCATGCTGGCAGGTACTGCTGGGAGCTGAAATCCAGGCAAACTGCCTGCAGAATTCTGGGAGCTGAAATCTCCGGGTATGTTAGTTGAGGAATTCTGCGAGTTGAAATCCCAGAGGTTGGTGAGGTTGGGGAACCTGGAAACAACTCCTCTGATCAGTCCTTTTCCTTTCCAGGGAGATGCCCGATCACCCCGGAAGAAGTCTTGGCCTGGGTTCAAAATAACGAACGTCTGAACATCCTCATATCGTCGAAACCCGTAGAAGATTCCCCTGTTGAGATCCTTTGTAAAGGTGAGCGAAGCGCCCAGGAACCGGGCGACGGGCAAACGATCCCAGGTCCGTCTTTTGCCTTCTTCTGGAGCCCTGAACTACAATTCCCATCATCTCAGCAGTGGGAGCGTCAGTGTACTGCACGTACGGAAGACGACGTCTGAGGTCGAGCCGTCCTTGAACCGCCCTGCTGGCCGTCTGTCTGCTTTGGGAAATGCTCTTTTAATGGAGAATTAATTCCTCCTCCCTTGCGGGAAAATTTAATTAAGGGGGAGAGTTAATCTCCTCCCCCCCTAATTCCTCCCTCCCTCCCTTCTCAGATCCTGATGACCCCTTTGTCATTTTTTAAGGAACGACATCATTTGCCGTTGCCTTTTTTTTTTCAGCACGTTTTTGCTTCCTCGTTTTTAACCTACGGCACTGCGATCTCCTGGTGGCCACCTCTCCCCGAATCAAACGCCTTTGATTACGCTTTGCTTCTTATCAAATCAGTCAGGGTGGGCTGAGGGTTTTTTTGTTTTGTTTTGTTTTTACCAGAACTGGACACGTTTCTCTTTTCCTCTGTCACAATTATCAATTCTTTTTTTTCTTTTTTTTGTCCTCCAGGAGATGAAGATCGGCCCCAAATGGACGTGGAAAGCTTTCCGAAGAAAACGGGCCCTCTCGAGAGCATCTTTACTTTCTCTAAAGAAGAGGCGCCCTGCTGTCGCAACGTCGAGGGACCTCCTGAACAGTCTCGCGTTTTGGCACGCGAACAGGGTGGACACCTGCGGATAGAATCGGCGGAGCGGGCTTCGGCGGGCACGAGCACAGAGGACGTCCCACTGCTGTGCGGCGGGTGGGTCGAGCTCGTGGCGCCCGAAATGTCCACCGAGCTGCCGTCTTGTCCTCGCAAGACAACAAATCTGCCCCGGCGTGATTTTGCCATGCGTGCGGAACACCCCGTCAAGGAAATGCAGTTGGTGCGCACCACTTGTGACGAGAATCGCGTGGACTCCAGGAGTTGGTTTTGTCCTCCAGGAGATGAAGATCGATCCCAAATGGACACGGGAAGCTTTCTGGAGAAAGCGGGCCCTCTCGAGAGCATCTTTACTTTCTCTAAAGAAGAGGCGCCCTGCTGTCGCGACGTCGAGGGACCTCCTGAACAGTCTCGCGTTTCGGCACGCGAACAGGGTGGACACCTGCGGATAGAATCGGCGGAGCGGGCTTCGGTGGGCGCAAGCACAGAGGACGTCCCACTGCCGTGCGGCGGGTGGTTTGAGCCCGTTGTGGCGGCCGAAACACACTCCCAGCTGCCGTCTTGTCCTCGCAGGACAATCCTGCCCTGGCGCGATTTTGCCGTGCGTGCGGAACACCCCGTCAAGGAAATGCAGTTGGCGCACACCACTTGCGACGAGAATTGTGTGGACTCCCGCCGGCAGGCGTTGGCGCGGAGCGCAGGGAAGATGCCGGATACTCTGTCGTCTTCCCCGGAAGCCCCCACCAAGGAGGAGAAACTCTATTATTGTCCTTGGTGCAAAGAACCCTTCAAACTGTGGATGAATTTGGAAGTGCATTATAGGTACTGTCGCCAGAGGGGGAAACAGCAGCCCCAGACGACTCCCGGTGGGCAGGCGGCGAGCGAGGCGAGCCGCGCCAGGAAGTCGACGGGTTCGGTCCCTCTCCCGGAAAAACCTACCCGCTGCCCGTCTTCCGCGGAAGGCAAGGAGGTCTTCCTGCATTTCAGGCTGTGCCAGCCTCACCAGAGACCGAGAATGGGCAAAAGCAAAGGGGTTTCCGACGCCGGCAGGGGTAGCGCCGAGAGTCCGCGCAGCTTGATGACGACCTCCGCCACGAAGAGGCTGTGCCGGTGTCCGGAATGCGGGGAAAGATTTGTGTACAAGTGGCAGCTCTCGACTCACTGGCAAGGTTGCAGGAAAGTTGTGGAGAACAAAAAAGACCCGCTCCCAAAGCCGCCACCGGATTTTGCCGCAAAGGAGCTCTCCGACAACGCCAAAGGACGTCAGGCGTGCGTCGCGGCGGCCGGCCGTCGGGGAACTAAAGACACGCCGTTGTATCCCTGCGGCGAGTGCGGCAAGAGCTTAAGCAAGTGCTACCTATCCACGCACATGGCGTTCCACGCGGGACTAAGGTACAAGTGCCTCTTGTGCGGGAAGGTATCGAACTTCCGAAGCGGGGCAGCCAGGCACAAAAGGCAGCACTGCGAGAAAGAGGAAGGCGGCACCTGTCCGAAGTGCGGGAGGCGCGCCGGCGCCAACGATTGTTTCTGCATGATCCAAAGAATCCGCGTCGCTCCCGACTCGGAGTCCGAGGAACGAGCCGGGTTGGGGAAGCCCAAGTAGCCGTTTGCGAAAGACTGGGAATCCGGTCCTTTCTCGCGGGCATCACGAGCGAGCAATACCAGCGGTGCGTTCAACTGGTTTTCCAACCCAACACTAGCCTGAGGGGGCTTTGGCGCTTGGCTCAGCTGGCTGCACATCAGGAGGACCATGTATAAGATGCCCGTTCCAGATGTTGCGAGAAATGCCTGTTTCAACGCACCGGGAACTACATTGTGTAGACAGCCGTAGGCAAGGAAGACACTCCTCTTTTGTGTAGGGTAAATGGGGTTGTCTTTATTTGCTTCTCCCTCGCACTCCGGACCCCAGGCAGCTTGATCTGTGGTGCCCGCGGGCACCGGCTTGAGGATGGAGAATGCCGCTAATGTCACCAGCAATTTTACTTCGTGCCTTAGCTGGATTTTTTTTAAAAAAATGTGCGAGAAATCGGTCAGGACCCAACGAACGATGATGGACAGATCTGTGGCACGAGTGTTCTTGGATAGCGTTCCTCCACCTGGGCAGCTGGACGATCGGTGGACTTCAACTCCCAGAATTCCCCCAGCCAGCTATGAATTCTGGGGGTTGTAGTTTTACCCGTCTTCCAGCTACCCGGGTTGAGAAACGTTGCTCTACGAAAACCAGAACGGGGCACGGCTGTCTTAGGAGGACCAGGGGTGGATGGGACGTGGGTCCTGTTCTCGTGGACAACATCTTGACTTTTTTGACCTCACCCCACCCGAATCCTCCTCCTGTCCCCTTCCCAAAGCCTAATTGAAGGTCCTCGCCATTTTGTGGCTAACTTTGTCCCAGTCCTGTACCACAATTGGTGAAAACATTGTGAAAAATGAATTATATATATATAAGATAATGTTCTTTATCTTGGCTGAATTGCAAGCTAAGACAGGAACGTTTTGTCATGCTTGTGGATGAATTTGAAATGTCAATTAATTGTCAATAAAAGCACTGACGGGGGTCCTTTCTGCGTGCTAATGTTAATACCACTTTACAAGGGCTTGGAAAGGCCACACTTGGAATATCTGCTTTGGTCACCACGGTGTAAAAAAGATGCTGAGGCTCTAGAAAGAGTACAGAGAAGAGCCACAAAGATGATCAGGGGACTGGAGGCCAAAGCATATAAGGAACGGTGGCTGGAATTGGGGATGTCTAGTTTAACGAAGAGAAGGATGAGGGGGGACAGGATAGCAGTTGTTCTAGTATCTCAGGGGCTGCCCCAAAGAAGAGGGAGTCAAGCTATTCTCCAAAGCGCCTGAAGGCAGGACGAGAAGCAGCGGGTGGAAACTCACCAAGGAGAGAAGCAACCTAGAACTAAGGAGAAACTTCCTGACAGTGAGAACAATTAACCAGTGGAACAACCTGCCACCAGGAGCTGTGAATGCTCCAACACTGGAAGTTTTAAAGAAGAGACTGGACAGCCATTTGTCTGAAATGGTGTAGGGTTTCCTGCCTGAGCAAGGGGTTGGACTAGATGACCTCAAAGGTCCCTTCCAACATTATTGTTATGATGATGATGATGATGATGATGATGGAGAGAAGCAACCTAGAACTAAGGAGAAATTTCCTTATTGATATAATTAATAAATCATATAATAATAATAAAAATGACGATGATGGATGATGATGATGGAGAGAAGCAACCTAGAACTAAGGAGAAATTTCCTTATTAATATAATTAATCATATAATAATAAAAATAATAAAAATGACGATGATGGATGATGATGATGGAGAGAAGCAACCTAGAACTAAGGAGAAATTTCCTTATTATTAATATAATTAATAAATCATATAATAAAAATGATGATGATGATGATGGAGAGAAGCAACCTAGAACTAAGGAGAAATTTCCTTATTAATATAATTAATAAATCATATAATAATAAAAATAAAATGATGATGATGATGGAGAGAAGCAACCCAGAACTAAGGAGAAATTTCCTTATTCATATAATTAATAAATCATATAATAATAAAAATAATAAAAATGACGATGATGGATGATGATGATGTAGAGAAGCAACCTAGAACTAAGGAGAAATTTCCTTAATATAATTAATAAATCATATAATAATAAAAATAATAAAAATGACGATGGATGATGATGATGGAGAGAAGCAACCTAGAACTAAGGAGAAATTTCCTTATTATTAATATAATTAATAAATCATATAATAAAAATAAAAATGATGATGATGATGATGGAGAGAAGCAACCTAGAACTAAGGAGAAATTTCCTTATTAATATAATTAATAAATCATATAATAATAAAAATAAAATGATGGAGAAAAGCAACCTAGAAATAAGGAGAAATTTCCTTATTATTAATATAATTAATAAATCATATAATAGTAATAATGATGATGATGATGATGATGATGGAGAGAAGCAACCTAGAACTAAGGAGAAATTTCCTGAGAGTGAGAACAATTAACCAGGGGAACAGCTTGCCACCAGACGTGAATGCTCCAACACTGGAAGATTTTAAGAAGAGACTGGACAGCCACTTGTCTGAAATGGTAGAGGGTTTCCTGCTTGAGCAGGGGGCTGGACTAGATGACCTCCAAGATCCCTTCCAACTTTCTCCTTCTATGATTCTATAAGAGTCTCCAGCTTGAGGGGATTGGACTAGATGACCTCCAAGATCCCTTCCAACTTTCTCCTTCTATGATTCTATAAGAGTCTCCAGCTTGAGGAGGGGGTTGGACTAGATGACCTCCAAGGTCCCTTCCAACTCTGTTCTTCTCTGATTCTGTAAGGGTCTCCTGCTTGAGCAGGGGGTTGGACTAGATGACCTCCAAGGTCCCTTCCAACTCTTGTTCTTCTCTGATTCTGTAAGGGTTTCCTGCTTGAGCAGGGGGTTGGACTAGATGACCTCCAAGATCCCTTCCAACTTTCTCCTATGATTCTATAGGAGTCTCGAGCTTCAGGAGGGGGTTGGACTAGATGACCTCCAAGGTCCCTTCCAACTTTTATTATTAGCCCTATTAGCACAGGAAGCCGTCGCCTTACGACCCCAAATGAGCCCAAACGTTTCATCCCGAAACCAGACGGTTGAGTTTTGCCCCATTTCGCGAGCTCCCTTGCCCCCGGGCGGTCGTCAAATTTGGAACGCGGCCCAGAAGTGACTCTAGCTTGCCCCATCGGTTGCTGGTCAGAAGGTCACCCAAAGAGGATCGCGGAACCCGTCGTAAATATGAAGCAGTTCGCCATGCGTCCGAATTTGGATCGCCTGATCCCGGGGATGCAACGGTCGTTAAGTTTGAAAAATGGTCCTAAGTTGGTTTTTCCTGTGCCGTTGTAATTTCAAACGGTCGCTAAACGAATAGTTGTATGTTGGGGAAAACCTTTATTTGCTGCCCCTTACAGTAATTTATTTTTCAACCATGAGTGATAGAAATCCCCTAGAATACTTGGGAATCCTTGAGACCATCTAGTCCAGGGGTCTTCAAACTTGGCCCTTTTATGACTGGTGGACTTCAACTCCCAGAATTCCTCAGCCAGCGTGCCTGGCTGAGGAATTCTGGGAGTTGAAGTCCAGTCATAAAAGGGCCAAGTTGGAAGACCCCTGAGAGTCTGGATCCAAGCCTGCAGGTTCATCAAAATGGCCGTCTGAGGAATCCTGGGAGTTGAAGTCCTCCAGTCATAAAAGGGCCAAGTTGGAAGCCCCCTGAGAGTCTGGATCCAAGTCCGCAGGTTCCTCAAAATGGCCGACAGGAATTCTGGGAGTTGAAGTCCACCAGTCATAAAAGGGCCAAGTTGGAAGACCCCTGAGAGTCTGGATCCAAGTCCGCAGGTTCCTCAAAATGGCCGTCTGAGGAATTCTGGGAGTTGAAGTCCACAAGTCATAAAAGGGCCAACTTGGAAGCCCCAAGAGTCTGGATCCAAGTCCACAGGTTCCTCAAAATGGCCATCTGAGGAATTCTGGGAGTTGAAGTCCACCAGTCATAAAAGGGCCAAGTTGGAAGACCCCTCAGAGTCTGGATCCAAGCCCCCAGTTTCATCAAAATGGCCGACTGTGGAATCCTGGGAGTTTCAGGTGGTCAGTATTTTCCCGGTTCAACCTTCTGGGGACTCTCAGACCTAGGTTCAGGCGTCCAAGGAGTTTTACCGACTGACTCCTTAAGACCCTCAACTTCAGGTGGTCAGTATTTTCCCAGTTCAACCTTCTGGGGACTCTCAGACCTAGGTTCAGGCGTCCAAGGAGTTTTACCGGCTGTGAGGAATTCTGGGAGTTGAAGTCCACCAGTCATAAAAGGGCCAAGTTGGAAGACCCCTGAGAGTCTGGATCCAAGCCTGCAGGTTCATCAAAATGGCCGTCTGAGGAATCCTGGGAGTTGAAGTCCTCCAGTCATAAAAGGGCCAAGTTGGAAGACCCCTGATCTAGTCTGACTTCCAGCGGAGAAAGCAAGCATGCTTTGTGAGTTGACAGGCTGAGCTAAGAACTAGCGTTCGTTACTTGATGGATAACTCGTAGAAACAGCATTCATACTTTTCATTCCGGGCACAGACAGTCCTCAACTTACGACAATTCGTTTAGCGACCGTTCAAAGTTACAGTGGCACTGACCAAAGTGACTTAGGACTGGTGCCCACACTTACACCCCCATGGTCCCAGGATCAAAATTGGCTACTAAGTGGTCCGTGTTTGATTTTTATGACCTTTTTGGCCACGGTGGTTAAGTGAATCGCTGTGGTCCTTCAATGAATCACATGTTGTTAAGCAAATCCAGGTTTCCCCCATTGACGAAGCCTGCTAGGAAGGTCACAAAATGGTTACTGTATGACCCTAGGAAGCTGCCGCCCTCGTAAACACACGCTGGATGCACGCCTCCGAATTCTGATCATGCGACCGTACGGGTGCGGCAACCGTCCTAAGTGTGAGGACTAGTCACAGGTTTTTCAGCGAAAAAAATGGCGCCAAACGAGTAGTCGTAAGAAGAGGACTCCTTGTAGTGCAGTAGTAGTACAATTCCATGCTGGTTTGACAAAGCTCTCCAATTTTGA